CTGTAATGCAGCTCCTCATCAACATGAACAACGTTGCTGTCAACAGGTCACACCGACACCAGATGAGTTCAGGACTCACCAATCACATCCTCTGCGGGTGTTACACAATTTCTTCGCACATGCCAAAACTCGTGGAAGACAGACGCAGCCGTCGACTATATAGCTCACGTAGTGTGGACGGTCTTGGGACGTTTGGGCTTCCACGTGCCAACAAAGAAACGCGGTACGTCCGCGATCCTCATTCCACGTCCGCACCCTTTCGGGATCAGGATCTCGGAGGTCGATCTGGGTGATGCAGTCGGGATCAGGTTCTCGTTAAAAGCACAGCTCGTGGGTTTAGGATGGGCATGGTGAGTTGGAAGGACTGTCTTTTCGCTTCTGCCGGGTGCTGCGGCTCGACGGTCGGTCCCGGCCTGCACCGGTCATGGTGCTGCGGCGCTGACGGTGTTCGGGGCGATCGCCTTGTGAGACGGGCACGCTTCGTCGCACGTGGTCGACGTTGTGGGCGGACTGGGGGATTTGGCTGTGGGTCATCACCAGGAAACCCTGGTTGACCTAGTTGGGAGGTTAAGATGGTGGACCAGGGATCCAGGCTTTGACCCATCCGAGTACGTGGGGGACAATACATGACAATACGGCCAAATGTTGATGCGTTTGCCAGAATACTTAATAGATTCGCTGAACTAAAACCTGGCAGACAACTACTGGACTGCTGATTCTAGTTACAGTATATTCTGTGAGGGGCAAAGTGAGAATCTCCCGCAAAACTAGGATACCCAACTGTAGATGTTGCTTCTGACCTAACAATGGGCAAAAAAGGATTTGCTTTAAACACATCGAGACTTTGATGGTGGAATCCGCGGACTGGAAGGATTTGTTCTGCAATCTTGTGTCGGATCATGTGGGTGATTTCAACCGTTGAACTAAATGGGAGCTGGAGGAAGATGGCCGGCCCAAATCCAGTTCAACATGTCGCGAAACATGAGAAACGAATTAAACCGAACATGAGAACCATTCAAAACGGAAGAAACCTCATTACTCTCCACCCACCCAACCAATCACCCAGCCACCCACCCTCCCCCATCTTCAAACATGCCACAAAACCACCAGGCGACTAAGCATACGCCAGCAACTATATATAATTACCTGCAGTCTCAAAGCACCTCCGCAAATGGGACATGACCCCATCAGAAAAAACTCAAACAACAACAAAATTTCTGCACAGCAGCAGGGTAGCCATTCTTTCAAAGTACAAACTGAGGAGTCAACTGTCAACTCCTCCTAAATTGACCTCACAAGTTCACCCTCCTTAATTACGTTCCCTCCCCTCTTTAGAGAGGGACACTCCCCACTTCTCCCAACCTCGAGGCCCTGAAGGGTCCACCGTGGAGGCCATGGTGTTGTGCTGCTGCAGACGACTGCGGCCGCGGCCCGCAAGGACGCCACAACGATTTAAAGCGTCCCGACGGGAGCGGATCGATCTGGATCGGTTTTGAAAGGACCAGGTTTGGACCTGGGGAACGGGCGAACGCCGGTTTTTCCATCTCAGTGGCCCGGGAGCAAGCCCGGTAAGCGAACTAGCTGAATGTGGCCTCCACTGAATCTATGTCTTCTCCATCTTTCTCCAATTTGTTTGCCGGGTTAGAAACTCTTGTGATGGGGATGTTGGCTTGAGGGCCTTCAGTATTAATATCTGATCCACTTGTGTTGATGTTCTGCCGATGCAAGCTAGCCAAATGGGTGAGGCCCCCTAGCCGCCCTAGCCATAGCCCCATAGAGGTTAATGGGTGTCTATTGACCACCCTGGTGTGGGGGTCCTGGTATGGGTATCTTAAAAGGGAGATGGCCGATCACCCAGCCAGCTGGGTAGACGACAGAGTCCGAACCTTCCAGGAAGATGGCCGGTTCCTGGGAGGTCTCCCTTGATAAACACCCATATGTTGATAAGTTGTTCAGTTCAACTAGTAACAAGGGCATCGCTACGAACGTAACCAGGGCATGACTACTAGTACGTAGCAAATAGCTACGTTCGTAGCTTCTTGCAACTAGTAAGTAGTAATGCCCTGGCTACGTTCGTAGCGATGCCCTTGTTACTACCATCACAACAACAGAAGCCCCTGCTGATCTCTCCGGCTCCTTGGCTGCGGAAACCAATGGTGGATGGAGAAGCTGGCGCGGCACGCATCGGCGGGAAGAGGGGAGAGGGGGGAGATCTCTGTCGTCGGATCCACCATCTGAGGTGGTTGGATAAGTATATATACCTCCTTGAGTCAAAACTTGTTGGAGTAGGAACAAGCTTAAGAGTCTTGTCTCTTCGAAAAGGACGTGCTTGTCAGTCGATTCCACTCCCAAGACAATCCATGCTTTCGTGAAACCCACCCACCAACGGGAACAAATGAGTGCATTAGTCGGGGGGCCATCCATTTCATTCCATTTCGCTGGTTCGCTTTGGCCGCTTTGAGAGGGGAGTTCTATCCAATTTGTTTCATCTTGATTCATCATCCAACATGAACATAGTCACTCCAATTCGTGGTGGATCACGTGACACGACGTGTCGGTCGCACTTGAAAGACATGAGACTACAACCTGGATACTTGAAATGACTGGTCACCGCAGAGGATAACGCAGCCATAAAGCGGCCCCGAAGGGCCGGATAACCTTAGGAGCTGTCTGTCAAGACAGCCCGACCGACGTGCATCACACGTGCACGCACGGCTGCCATGTGGCGCAATCGCTCCCGAGCCTTTTGCAAATTATCAGACTGGCAAGGCCAGCCCAGTCTAGCTGTGCTAGAACCAAAGAACCAAAGAAGACTACAACCAAAGAACAACCAAAGAACATACAAGTTTATAGGTATCAAGCGCACCTGGGTCCTCTATGGTCCCAACTGGGTCCTCTCCCTGAATGAACTCACTTAGCGTGAAACAAGGAGCCCCCCAGGCCTCAACATTGGACCGGTGATGCATGTGAAGATTCTGTGAGGTCGTGCTCTTTTTCTATAAGTGAGCGCCTAATATTGTTCGGCCTGATACATCAGAATGAACGATCTGTGAGTCCCAACCAAAAACAAAAGTCAGGTCTCCAGGTATCTTTGATGTTTGCCTACAGAAAACATCAGAAAACTCCATGAACTCCACGGCGGATCGAACTCCTGCCCCCTTGTTTCGGCCGCCGATCTCGTTTCGTCGCCAGTCCGAGGGGTTCCATTCGCGCCTATGATCGAACTTCTTCCCGTCACCTGGTGGACGATTGGCACAAACAGGGTTGATGTCGCAAAGCTGCATAAGCTATATATCCCTCCAATGAATGCATGAGGCATGGTTTCTCAGTGCTCAGCTCAAGCCTCGCTTTGAGACCCCACACCCAAACTGTGCGCTTTTGGGACCCCACACCGACGCTGCCCAACCGATCCCATACCAACACCGACCTTGGAGGCTCTGCTTGTGCAAGGACTTCAACTCACGCAGCTTGTTGACTGCGCCACGCCCGCACGGCGTGGAGGACGGACGGACGGACACGGGCGTTTGACGCACTGACGTGTCACCCGGGACGGTCGGGAGTTTGACCTTGAGGAGAGCCGACCGTCAACGCCTTCCGGTTCTTCGTGTCACCAGTGTGTGACCCAAATGTGAAAAAGAACAACATTTCAGACATTTTTAGACCAACCATATCCACCGGGCCTTCAGATGTATCCTGCCATAAGGATATGACATGTGAGGTTCAAGGGGTTCATCCTTTGTAGTGATCCCCCTACAAAGCTTTCTTATTTTTTTCAACGCCTGCTGTTTGGCTGTCTCTACGGTAGCAAATCAGAAACACTGCCGCCAAGGTCAACCAAGAAGGCGGAAACATGTTCCCCAACCCCTTGGGTCGGAAGGTGTGGTGGTGTTCAACGTTGGTCAATCGTGGATCGCTTCAAGCCTAATGTGGACTTTTGATTCATAACTCACCCTTTCCATTTGGATTGTAAAACCATGTATATAAAACCTCTTCATATTATGATTTCATGTGCCACATGGTTTCTTATTCCTGAAAGATTCTACATTAAACTGGCCAATACTCTGGCCAATCCATGTTGCCTTGCTTCACTTGTCGGGTCGGGTGTTCGTGTTCAGTGTGCACATGTGTGCACGATGGTACAGGCACGTGTTCACCGTCTATAATCTGAGTGTCTGAATTGCAGGGGCAAAAACGTGTACCATGGATCCAATTAAGGTCAGCAAAAACAGCAGCACCTCTCCACACACCCCTCTCCATGACCCATGTCTCCGGACCTAAGAAACTGTGAGGTAGAAAGATCAAGCGACTGCTGAGTCTGACCTGGGAAACCAGGAATCGGAGACGATGTACGAAAAGATGGAGAAAACGAGTAGTCATCGGCTGGCGGTATCTCACGATCACTGTGTCCACCTTCCCACCAAATGGTAGCTTGACCAAAGAACCTTTTGCTATGATTTGATGTCTGAGGTCAATCAGTGTCTTGGGTTTTTGTATGGTTTTGCACCACAGCATAGCCTAGTGTCGTTTCTGGTTCCAAGTGGGGCCGCAAACTGTTCCTGAGTAGGGCTCACAGCATTGACTAAAACCCACAGCCATATCGGGCCGGCCACCAAAATGCGCAAGCTCTTCTGGCTAACAACTGTGTCATAGTTCCCCCAAAAGTTGTCAGAAATATCTAAACATAACGAACACCCAATAGGTAACAAACAAACAAACAAACAAACAAGTGTTGCTGATTTCATAAGCCTGGACCCTCATCGACGGATTCTGTACATGGAATCTATCTTCATCACGTCACATAAGAGCTCATGATAGCTCAAGCTCTGCCTTACAGAGTCTGCAAATGCCTAGCCTGCTGAATGATGCTCATAAGATACAATAGCTGAATTCCGGAACATGCACTAAGAAACAAAACAAAGGCATGTTTGTGTTTCTAGAAACTTCGACTTCTACTTCAGGATGCCTCATCATGGGATGAATGATGCAGCGTCGACCTTTTCTGGCAATTACGCACACTGCAAGCTCCCTTGAGGGATGCTGCAAGTGAGAAAATCCTCCTGCACCTGCAAGAAATGCTTAGACTCTGCGGTCTGAAAAGGACTTCGAAGGTCTTCTAGTTGAGAAACAGCTCTAAGGTCTTCCAAGCATTCCTTCCCTACTTGAGTGCAGGACGTATTTCAAATATGCCTTGCGCTTGATGGACGATATCACAAAGCAAGCTCCGCAATGAATCAATTCTGAACTGCTGCCAAGCTCCAGCACATATGGGGAGACCTCCCAACCAATGGAGAGACCTCCCAACCAATGGGTTAGTTGTGTTTATATTATATTGTTCCAAAGGTCTTTGGGGTGTCTTCCTATTAGAATACGCGCCCATATTTTGCTTTATAGAAAAAGGTATTTTGCCTAAGCCGTTGATACTAGAGAGAGGAGGGGGGTGAACGAAAGGTAGCAGGGAATCAGGCGTAATCCGGGAGGAGGTGAGAGGCCCCCCACTTGTTTGAAGAGAAGTGACTGAGCGTGATGAAAGAAAAACTAATGCACAAACTAATCACAATCACGTCACATATTTCTCAAATGCAACTTTGGATTTACATAGTGACGTGCTGCGACCCTGTAAATTGCGTGGCCGCAGGCCATGCTTGCAAACAGGACGAGCTCAAAAACACTGGTATTTACGAGGTTTTGTTGCCATCGATCCACAGCCGCGGCAAGGTCCAAGGCCACGCTTGAAGACAGGAGGAGCTGAAAACAGTGGTATTTACGGTGTTTTGTAGCCGTCGATCCAGAGGCGCACCACGGTTGTGTGCTGGAAAAGCGCAGAAAACCGTGTAAATACCGGCGTTTTCTGCCGGGAAGGTGCACAAAACCCTGTAAATACCATAGTTTTGTGCAATTTTGAAGCCTCCAAAAGCCTCAAAATCCCTTTCCGACAAAAATATTTCCTGGTTTTTGGTCTTTTTTCGGTCATTTTTCTAACCGAGACGCATCAAAAACCATCGGTTTTTGCGGTGTTTTTTGCCGGACAGCCACAAAAAACGCTGTAAATTCCATGATTTTTTGTCACTGTTGAGGACTGGAAGAGCTGAAAACACTGATATTTACAGTGTTTTCGGACCGTTGACCCCGAGGCGCGCCAGGGTGGAGTTGAAAGGGGGGGGCCCCCCGGCCATCAAACGAAGATGTCGGGGACCATTTTTCTGAGAGATAGGCTCCAGCTCTGAGTATAATACATTTTTGCTAAAGCAAAAGGAAAACTCAGGTAGCGTAACCGCTACCTTTCGTGATCAACCAGGAAAAAACATGCTGAGCATGGGTGGGACATGTGTTTCTACAGGTGAAGCAGTGACTTCTTTGCCGGCAAAGAACACTTACCATGGAGAAATAACTCCTGACGTTGGCACAGTGTTCACACATTGAGGCTGGTAGTTCACCTGGTACATGTCACATCTGGTAATTCACCTGGTACATGTCACATCTGGTAGTTCACCTGGTACATGTCACATCTAACTCAACATCTTGGTCATTCTTGGTCCATCTTTTGGCATCTTGGTGTCTTCTTTTGAAAGAAACACCCGATCGATGGGTCAGCGCCACCATCAAGAAGCCCTCATTCACAAGCAAATATATTCATCTAGAGTCACGGAGACGCATTTAGAAGTCAATATATCTATCCAAAATTATCAAAATATATCCAAATCATATCATAGTGCAGTGACTGATGTGCCGTTCTCCCCCGGCAACGCCGGCAAAGCCCTCACCGAAGCTCCTCCGGGATCTCGGCCTCTTGCGCTTCCTTGTTGGTTCGTCTCAGACTCTGAACGACGAGGGGCGCTTGTTAGATGCGCTTCCTCTTTCACTGACCATGCTTCTAATAATAGTACAATAATGTTTGATATCATCCGATCGGAGCTTCCACCGATGCTTCAGTGTCTGTTTCGTGTCTTTTCGTTTTGCCAAGGCAACCATGGTCACCCTGGCGTTTGTGATCCATCGGAGCTGGGACCCCTGGGCCCAAATCAAATCCGCTCGTTGCGGAAGTTCCCTCGATTTGGGAAGCGAACACGAGAATCGATGGAGACCCGACGAGGAAGAAAAGTGACATACCCAAACACTCGATGTGTATGGTATATGATGGTGTAAATATACCTAGAACCTCGTTAGGCAATAATTTCCGCCCAACGCCATTTAGGCAGAAAATTCAGCCCGTTTTTGCAAAGAACGCCTAAGCTGCAGCCTCGAGGGTCAAAAACGCCGAGGCACAATCACATGCATTCTTACATGCAGGAGGCAGAGCCAGAATTTGAATGACAAAAATTGAGAAAACAAACGCCTGCCACTTGACGCTAATCCCCAGTCAAAGTTATTGAAACTCATGTCGCTCACTCCCCCAAGAAGATCCAAAAAGGCTACCATTCCGTTGTCCGCCCAACTATTGATTGTAGTGAGGGGGGAACGGGCAAGAACGCCTAAGTAACGGGCAAGAACGCCCAAGTAACGGGTAAGAACGCCTAAGTGACGGGAAGAACACCTACGCAAAAAGATATTAAAGCAATGAATCAAAGCATAGAAAAACTAAAAACATACAAAAGAGATCACAAGAGAAACAATAAGTGAATTCCTGACAAACAAATGTGCCTCACTATGAAAGTTCCTGGAATCAGTGGTGGGTGGATCCTCATCTCTTTGAGCAATGCCACCAAAAGGACAAGAACGCTGAAAGGGGGCAAGAACGCCTACAGGGGGCAAGAACGCCTAAGCACGGGCAAAGTCGCCTTTACCCATAATAGGCAGAAATTTCTGCCCAAGAAGAGGTTATAGGTATATATATATATGCATACATCGACCCCGCTGAAACCACCCCTATGTTGGCAGGCAATGCCATACATGGAGTGTTTGGGATACTCACGGATACTCCGATACTCCTTGACCATCCTGGACCTGGGTGTCCAGTGAATATCCCAAAGTCTTATTAGTCCCTTGGAGACCCGTATCAATGCAGTGGTGTTCTCCAAATTCCCCCCAAAACAAGATTTGGTATGATTTTGGTAGGTTCTCGAATTGAATATATCCCAGACACTCCATGGGACTGCCATATATGCCTACATTGACCCCGTTTCAACCACCCCTGGCCTGATCGGCAGTCCGGTGCAGTATGGCAGTCCCAGGCAGGTCGTGTCTGCAGTATACTCGAGTCGTTCGATCCACCGTTCGCACCACTGGTGGCTACTTTCTCGTGCTCTTCTCCACCGCCCAGCATCAATGCGTCTCAAGCTCTCCGAGACCTGGCGCTGCGACTCTCGGAACCGAACAGGGACGAGTCGGGGCGGGAGGCGGGAGACCCGGGAGGGGCGGGCGCTGAAGGAATCGCCACCATCAGACCCCAAGGGACCGATCACGTGGATCATGCTTGAGATACACAGCATGGATAGACTTGCACGAATTCGGGATGCAAATAGATGATCCAATTTGGAGGCGGATTCGGTTCCTGGGGGATTTGTGCGAGATCCTGCGGTCCATCTCTACTTCACGGATCCTGGATGGGCCCAGAGAGGACCCATGGACCTCCTAAGTGGGGCCACAGCCCTCAAATACCGGAGGTTTGGACCAAGGCCTGTTTGGAGCATCTGGGCGCCCAAAGTTCCTGTCACTGGCCTGTCATTTGGAGCGGCCTAGCCGCACCCTGGTGTGTATGGTGTTTCGGGCATCGAAAGCAGAAACACATCCTGGAGCCTATGCAATGAGCGCTCAATGTTTATTCCACTGCTCATTCTTGCTGCTTCGTACCATCTTCTCCTCTGTTCAGAGTGTGATGCGAAACCAAAAACACCACACCCTGCCTGCTCTTGCAGTGAATGTGCTTTCTGGCACGGATGCGGCACGAGAAAGGCTTTGCATCAAGAAGTGTGAGTTGCTCCAAGTCCACATCAAAAGTGTCAAATCCTATCAAATACTTCAAGGAAACACCGTGATTCAATCCTTGCATTTCATGAACGCTTCCGGAGATCCATGATGCCAGGCACCATCCATGGCACAGAAAAAACCACCACATCCAGAAGGAGTGAGTGTCTTCGTCAGGTCCAGAGTTCTAGGCGACCCAAACGGCAGTGGATCTTATGAGCTGGTAGAGACGAAAACCCGACTCCGAAATCGGCTGCCCGCCTTTTCAGCCTTGGCCAAGGCTTTGGCAATGGCCTGGGAGGAAATCCGCTGGGAATACCTTTAAGCCTTTGATTACCTTTGTCTCCTTGATTTACTTTTTGTTTTTTCGAGGTGCACAACTGGTTTGCGTGTACAATAGGTGCACAACTGGTTTGCAAGTACAACAGGTGTCCACCAATCTCCAGGAGATTGGTTTTGAGAGGGTCCATGTTCGATGAGGGCCTCTTCTCCCGAATTTCCACGACATCGTCCGATCACCAAATCTTCCCGTAGAACGTGTGCATCTTCCCGGTGGAGGGTTCTGTATGCCGCATACAGCCGCATAGTGAAGAAAGATCAACGACTCAAAGCACACGGTGATCCAAACAGGAGGCCTTTGAACATAAGCCGGACGTGTCCCTGCTAGCCGGACATGTCCTCAACAGAGACACCAACTGGCCATCCAAATCACCACATCCAAATGCAAAAGACACCAATTTGCCAGCAGTCACAAAGGGTTGCTTCATGGAGGTTTGGGGTGCCCATTATCCACTGACTCCTGGTGGTGAGATTTTGGATGATTTTGGTGGCCTATCACAGGGAAGTTGAGTTCTTTGGTCCAACAATCTGAAGCTATAGCCATTCAACATCAATTGATGCTCCGCATTGATTCCCACCCATTTCCATTGAGGCATGGGGATGCCAAATAACATCAAGAAACACGTACGTATCTTCATGTATCTTCCACCCCCGCAGTACATACATCTCGCAGTAGTAAAGCAGTTGTTGCTTTCTCCCGAACCATGGCTGCCTGGCTGTCCAAGACGTTATAGAACATAACTACCGGGTCACTATAGCGAAATCTATCAAATCCAGTCGGTTTGGTTTTTTTTGGGGCCATCTCCAAGGTGAAGCCGACGAACCCCACATCCAGCGCCTCTTTCTCTTGCTGCATTTGCTGAATCAACTTGGCAAGCCTCTTCCTTCGGTCGACGAACCCTTCACGCAAATGCTCCGGAAGCGGAGAGAGTTTCGGAGATTTCGTGACGGATTAATGGATTCGTGGATTTTTGTTGACTCGAATTCAGAGGTCCAAAAGCGTGGCACATCTAAAAAATCACTGGCAGCCACAGCAGGTGAGATGAGATCTGGGCGGCCCTGAGTAAACGCTGGATCAAAATTAACTTTGGGCCAGACATATTCAATTGTGCTTCACCAATGGAAAAAGGATCACTGTATTTCCCTACTCTTTTTCATTCACACCTCGTGTGACCTTCTTTTCTTTGGTCCCATGTTTCACGCAAGATTTCGGGCTCCGGTACACGGGCTGTCCGCACATCACCCCCCAAGTCAAAAAAAAGCAAATCATGCGTATCTGCACCTGGAGAAGAAGAATGAACATGTTACTGGAATCCCGGAAATGTGGCATGATGCCAACTTTCTTGCTCTTTCAGATCGTGCGGATCAGCGACAACGACCCCAGGTCAACGAAGGTCGGTTTTTGCCAGAGATCCTGGTCTCCCACCCGTCGAAAGGGCGAGGCTTGGACGAGACCCCCGATCGAAAGCTGACAGAGGCGACGATGGTCCAGGATGGTGTGAGGATGGTGCTTCGGCGCATGAGGATGGTCCGTTCCTTTACAAACAGCTTCCCCGTTCCTCGATGTGTAAGAACTTCCAAGCCCATTTGTTGCTCAATGTTTCTCAGGAATCTTCCAAGCCTATCATTATTTGTACTTAGATGTACTTGGTACTGAATGAGCTTCCCAAGAAATTCCAACCAAAATCAGGGAATCCTCAAAAGCCTCAGTCTCTTCCTCGCTCCTGCGCTCAATCTCCTCCAGCGTAAGGCCATTGACCTTTGGCTTGTCCCGCCCCACCGGCGGGAACTCCTGGCAACGGAACTCCGTGTCACGGTTGAGGTACCAAAATCAAAAAACAAGAGACCAAACAACAATACCACGTCGATACACGTCGTGTTTCAATGAACTAGTGAATGTCATTGACGGGTTCTTCGTCTTTCCGACCGTTCGCTGCGCTTACCGACCTTCCCCACCGAAAAAGGACACAAGAGAAACACATTATTTTATTTCGACATATTTCGACCAATCCAGTTCCAACTGTTCCCACTCTCCACTATCACTCCTAAACTGTGGGGAGTATATAACTGAAAAAGTGTGTCGTGAGCTTAGCGGTTTGCATACCTCGGCCTCCCCTGTATGTTCTGTCAGTCTTGGTGGATCTTGGCAAAGCCCTGATCACATCCCAAAAGTGCCTCTTTGTGGCCCCAACCAGTGGTTCCCCGAAGCCTCTTCCAACCTACCCGCTGTTTCGGGCCCTATAGAAGAGCCTGGACCTTCTTATGGTACAAATAAATGTGTGCTTTTGGAGTTTTGGTACGCAAAACCACCAAGTGGTAAGCAAAATATGTTGCAAGCTTAAAACCCGCACCTTTTATTAAATCATCTTTTGTCACAGAAAAATCATGTTAAGAGAAGTTTGGTAAGACATGGTTCCACATTCATTTGGAGCATGCTGCAGCCATCCCTTTGGGCTTGTTTTGCTTTGGCCCCAATGCCTGTGAAGCTCGACGAAGGACTGCTTAGATGTATGCAAGCATGCGTGACTACATATGCAGCTTATTGTTCATATTAAGTGCTACATTTGTGCAGGAGTGACATGGGGGCCAATTCTATCAGCCATAGAGGCGCTCAAGGCTATCTTCATTGGTAAAGAGGTTGGGTGTGGGCTGTAGTTTCCACAATGCCATGATATCGGCCAAAGCTAATTCATGGATCTGAATAGTTCTTCTTCAAGTAGATTCTGAAACAGTTTGGACTTCACTCAAGCCCTGGCTCCTGGATAGACAAAACCCCAAAACAGCCATAGGCGCGATTGTTTGGGTTTTGTTGATAGGTTCATGGAACACATGGCGTGAGGAAACAATGCCTTAGAATCTTGGAAGACAATTCCATACAAATATATGATATATGCCTCATCTTTCATCCCACCAGTTCACTTGGCCCAACCAGTTCAGCCTTTTTTTGCTTGGTCCCGTGGTCTCCTGATTGTAGGCCGCATCCACCCGCTCTTCATCCTCTTGGCTTGGCCAAGCGGTGGCCCCAATGTAGAGCGGGCATCTGAGCGGAGCAACTCGGAGCAACCCCAACGACCACCCGTCTTAGACGGGGCAGGAAAACAGAAGAAGACTTCCTGGAAACTAAGAGTCAAGAACCTCTGGAAAAACAATGGAACCTCATATGAATAAATCACCTAACTGGACCTAACTAACACACCTACCAGAAGCTCGGAAAAGGTGGTATACGACCTCTGCAGTCCGACTTCCACTTCGACACCACGCCTCAATAGCACTCGAATTTCTGCAGAAAAGATCTACATCGAACACGCAACAAAAAGTGAACCAAAACCTGGCCGCCCGGGTTCCTCCTACCCCTCCGACCCCTCCGACTCCCCGATCTCTCAGCTTCCGGCACACGACCAAGACTCCGAGGTCTTGGGTGCCTGGGGAGTTTTCTCATGGACTGTGTCTATGTTCGACTATCCCAGTTGGGTACCCCCGAATTGGTCCTATACGGTCACTTAACCTCTCTTGTTGTTTCTTTTGTTTTTCAGGCAGGGTGCCTGCAAAAAGACCTAAAGATCATGGACTTCCAGAGTTCGTCCAAGAAACGGTCATGGGCAAATTATTAATACATAAATATACTATACTATAAATAGTGAGGGACCGGGATGGTCAAACAAGTGGTCCAACTTTTGGACTTGATGAGCAACCTCAATAGATATGGGCGAAGGCCATAGATATGATGTATATTTTTTCTCAATAGAACTGTTGCATGACGGACGCAAGCGTCACGCTGTGTTCACGTGGTCTCCGCATGACGCCTGCTGCTTAAGGTGAAGACCTGTCAACTTTGAGTCTACGGGCACCGTCCAAATCAGGTCGCAACTGATATAGGACGCTACTAGGAACAAGGGCATCGCTACTAGTAACAAGGGACATTACTACTAGTAGCAATATATAGCTATCAGTAGCAAGGACGCTATTAAGCGGAGCCCATTACAATTAGGTTGGAGGTCATTGCTACTAGATACCTTCATCCTCAAAGACCATTCCTGAAGATAGAGAGCGGTGAGTCAAAGCTCGAGCACCAGTGCGGCCCGAGCAGGAGTTCATCTCTAGGTTTCTTTCCCATGATTCCATGATTGCTGCTGGTTGGACTGGTTGGACTGGTTGGATGTCCTTCCTCGCTTGGAAAGACAAGGCTCTAATTGGAGGTGCTTGTCCTTTATTTGAAGAGGGATCATTTACAGTATTTTATTTTACGAGTCATGGAGACGGAAGAAGACGACTGTGTACCACTATATATACAAGCTTCATCAAAGTGACCTCTCAGTCCCTAAGTGACCTTTGCCAAGCCAAGGTAGGAGATCACATCTCCCTCAGCAATCTCGGCGTGTAACGTAAAATACATTGACCAAAAAACACGAGTGCTCAAGGGGTGGTCTTTGAACCCCAACAAATTAGATGCCACCCCCTTTCGATCTGGTACCATATATCATATATCCCATACGCTCCATGGGACTGCCATCTATGCCGATGACCTTGACCCTGGACATCAACCACCCCAAGTGTTTGGGTAGATGGAACTTCTGGTACCATGGATTTCTCCGCTTTCTCCCCATGGATCTTTCGCGCTGTTTCGCGCTCGGTCTCTGTCTGCCAAGCTGCGAGACGGGTCGCAAGGAGGGTGGAGGCCTCCCGAGGGGGGGGGGTCGATGTGGGTGCTGAGGCGACGTCGTACAGCCAAGACTACTCTGTTGATTTGGAATCCTTAGACACATTGGAACACTTGCTTTGATATGATCGGTTGGAAGGTAGGTCGGACAACTTCCGGACGTCTAGACCGGCTGAATTTAATTGTTCTGGTTCTTCTTCAGGAGAAGAAGGTTCAAACATGTTCCAACATATACATACGCTGCTTCCAACAGAAACCAATCAGACTCCCTCCGATCTCTTGGTTCGGTAAAACCTCCAGAATCTCCACCGGACACACCGGAAACCCCTCCTCCACCCACTGCCTCCCGCCTCACAGGCAACCTCGCCGGAATCTCATCCCCCGCGGCGCGACCCACGACGGGGCCCACGTCGCCCGACATGGCGCTGCGACAGGCGGGAATGGAGCGGAAGGGCTGGGTGGCTGATCAACACGGCGATTGGCTGGTCGACTCTGGTTCTGATTTTCACCAATTGGTTGCAACAACAACGACGGGTCCATTTCGATGATTGGGTTCCGACAGCAAAGATGGAAGGAAACTGAGGGATTTTGGAGGGAGCCAAGGCAGCGTGTTCCGCCCTTCGTTTGCAGTGAGCCATGCGGTGGACATCTCATTGACACGGATCATAAGGCCAGGGAGCGCCGCGTGTGGGTGTGGGTACGTGCATGTGGGTTGCTGCGGCTTTGTCATACAGGTTCTTGAATCGTCAAGGACAAGGTGTGCTATGTCCAATTCATGGATGTCTCAGTCTCTCATCTCAGCTGGCAGTTTTCGTTCATAGCTTTCCAAACAGCGGATGACACCATGACCATGATGATATCTTGATCTTACAAAAACAGCACAGTAAGTGAGCAGCCTGACCCATGTCGAAGGAGACTCTTTGACGGCATTCTCAAAAGAACAGCAAAGGCTAAAATGGCATCTAATATAGTAGATCCTGTCCACATCATTCTGCAAAGGAGGCATCACACAAAAGCCAAACGATGAGTCAAACGTACCTTTCTAACTTGCCAGTACCAGTCACTTGCCTTCCTGACCTGCCAGTACCTGTAACATATCGCCAGTACCTGTAACATATCCGACACGGGTTCACCAGCACTTCCTCAGGGGTTCACCGATGGAAGACCCTAATCACAATCATCTACTTGCGGATCTCAAACAACCTGAGTAAAAGTACTTACCAAGGTGCGAAGGATCCAAAAGACTCCAGTGAACGTGCAGCTTCCCTTGAGCTCCCAGCTTCCACTGGGTCAAAACTCCTCAGGTCAAACGGACACGATCCACCACGCGGGAGCTGCCCCCGAAAGCTCTCAGGAAGGCGGAAGAACCGCAACAAACAGGAAGAACTGCAGTCTGTTGGGAAACAAATCGCACGTTGTCCAAATGCATTGGAGAGATGACAACGAACCATGCTATACTCTCCGAAATCTTAGAACACCGATCTCCAAGGCTGCATTTGCAAACAGCCTCACCAGCACCACTGCTGGCTATGTACCAGGTACTGGGTAAACCTGTGCAAACAGTCAAGTGATGGAAGAACTGCTGCACTACCTATAGCTCCCAAATCTACCAAAACATGTCAATCCTAAGGAATTTGCTCCAACTTCTTGACCCTGAACTGATCCCCAGAGTTCTGCTTGCCCGCCAACCGATCACAGGGTATTGCCACAGGGTGGATGGCTCGGGGCTCCGCACGATGCTGCGGGGCTCGCCTCACCCAGCAGCTCCTTGTTGAGGTCCTGGGTTTTTTCACAGAGACACCCATGGAATTGGGGGACCATGGAAATTGTTTATTTTGTTGTTAAGATTTTTGTTTGTTCTTAAGTCTGCTATAAGTGTAGTTCATTGAATTTGAGAAGTCTTTTCAACATTATGTATAGTTCTTTCTACTTGAAGTTGGAGAAAAGACCTATGTTCTGGGGTTCTACTAGTTCACCTAGCGGAGTTGGAAGCGGCCGGTGCCAGGAAAACTGAGTCTGTCTGGTAAGGTCCCTGTCGTGATGACATCGCTCATCTTGGGATGAATTGACTTCAAACATTCCATTGATGTCCATGTCCATCTTCCAAAGGTGTACGGTCAAAACCGGTTCAAAACGTTTGTTGGATGATCTCGTGGATGTCACCCTCCTCACCACGCCGTTGGTACCCGGCTGTGGGGTTCTGGTGGACCGACGACCGTCGGATGAATCGGGTGGACCGACGTCCAAAGAACCGCTCCCAGGTTCGCACCCACCACCCCCCAGATCCCACCTGTTCAGATCCCAAAGAGTGCGGTCTTCGAGTCTTCCAAACTCCCGCCGCCCAAACCCGCACCTCCCATGGATCAGACCTGGGTCGGATGCCAAAGGCGGACTGGTCCAGGGAAGGGCATGGTGGTCGTCGCAAGCACCGCGATGTGTGGACGTTGCCGTCGCATGCTTGGGGGTTCTGTGACCATTCTACAGAAGAGCCGAGCCATTGACACAGATTCTCTGGACTCCAAATCAAGTGAACAGTAGAGTTCTGAGAGCACACGTCCATAGGATCTGCTCAGAACCTAGATAGAGCGCTACTGACCCACGATCAAATTGGAGGCCTACAGGTCAAGGGACCCTGGGAACTGTGTGGGAACTGTGGCTTTAGTACGTTAGCAACTTATACAAACAGGACCCTGCAAGGAAGGGGATTCATTGTCACCCCGTACAGTACGCCCCAGGATTCCAGCAATCATTGATTTAAATACATTTAATGGTTCTTAATTACCAAACATCCGTTGAAAAGGTGTGGCCAACAAAGGCACCTTATGACCTCCGAGTCCAAGATGGACACTCCTCTGAAGTGCGAAGCACCATGACATGCACGTTTCCAGCTCCAGGTTTAAGTCTTGAACATCCGGAGCCACACGTGATGGGAAAAACGTTTTCGCAATGGAGATGTTTGATCAATATCTATCTGTATATAAAGTTGTATATATATATATATACTGTACATATAATATGTCAATCTTGAGGGTCCATCTTCCCTTTGGAACATCCAAAATGGAAGATGTTTTTGGGGTCCATCTTCCCCCCAAAAAATGGTAAAATTGGGGTTCTGAGGAGTTCCTGTTCATCAACCACCTCGTTGAAATGTTGTGCTTACTAACTTTTTTTTGTTGAGGCTTTGTCGTTATTCTCTATGGGGTTCTGGGGAAAATGTGGTGCTAAAAATCACTCTGTTCGGTGATAATGGATGAGGTTAAGATTTGTTTAGGCTTGTTGTGTTTGAAGGATTAGCTCATAATATTGTTATTTAAGCTATTATGAATTAATCGTGCTTATGCTTTCCATTGACCTATTCCATCCCACCAATGTTCAATCAGTCTCATTTGTGTCATTATAAGATTTTCAGTATTATTCAGTTCGCTAATCGATGCGGTTAGCAATGCTAAATTTAATGCCATAGCGTTCATTTGTCCATCACTGCAAGTTTTCTTCCACACTCAATTATCATCTTTTTGTTAGTTATGTTTTCATACATTCTCTTTACAATGTCAAAGTCCGCTAATGAAATTATTATGATAGGTTTTAATCCTTCCTTCTCTTCCAACATTTTAATCACTTTGTTCGTGCATGACCGCTTGGAAGGACGAACCGGCCTGGCGCAAGCTGAACCTGCCTCACAAAGATGAATCTGCAGAATGTCAAAGAAACATGACAATACATCGGTTCAGTCAATTTGTGCCAAACTGGCTTTGGATTGAAGGATGCTTGATATGCAAAACCAAACAGGAACCACAGCGCCTAACCTCAATCAATACATGAATTTGAAGCAAATAATTCGACATCTTTGAAGAACAGCTTGGGAGAATTTGAACCTGAACCTACACATAGAAACTCTGACCACCTCAACAATTATCCCCTTCATTCAATCCAAACAATGAAGTGAAAGTTATGACCCTAAAACACGCATAATGACAAGACCCCAGAAAAACGACAAAGGCTCAACACAAATGTTCAAGAGCCCAGAAAATTCAATGAGGTGATTGATGAACCAAAACCCCCCAGAACCCCCATTTTACAATGTTTTTCCTCCAAACGGTCCATCATAGTTCAGATAAACACGGCCCAGGTGCATCCGTCCAGTGTCACTTTCCTCCAGCATCGACTCTTTGCGAGACCTCAACAGAGTTGACCACAGCAAGGTCCGACCGCGACCGCGATGCGAACACCGGCTGCACAACTGGTGGCGTGATGATGCAGCGTCATACTTGTCGGATGAACAAAACAGGGTCCCCGGGCCTAAGGGGTGTCTAAAGATTGTACAAAAGAAGAAGGTGATTTGTGCTGTCCATGAACCACGAGCTGAAAGAATGAGTTGCTGGACCCGGGTTTCTACCGCTTGCTTGCGGACAACTCGTTGATTCCGAGGTGAAGGAGTGAGACTCCCAGAAGCCCCTAAGGAACTCCCTAAGGATCCCAAAGATTTCCAAAAGCCACATTGTCAGAAGGTAGCTGGCTTTCGAAGTTTTCACCTGGCAAGTGGTTAGGGAACTCACTGTAGCTCCTTGGCTCCAGATTCCAACGGGAATATACCCCGGGCTCCGAAGTTGTTTCCTCCTCAGACACAGCTAGTCAGAGTCTTCACCATCTTGCAAATCAACAAAGTACGGCTGTTTCAACGCCGCTTTCCATCGCCGGACTCGCCCTTGGATCGCCCGACACAAAACTTTTCGCAAAGCAACCGAAGAGACATGATTAACAAAAAGTAATACGTCAAGTTAGAACACATATGAACACATGGATCATGATCATTCGGATTCAACCTGGACCTACAATGTGAAAATATTCCATACCCCGGCGTACGATCCCCAAACGCATGATTTACCAGAACGTGTTTTTGAGATTCAGAAACCTGTGGGTTTCAAACGAGAGCTTAATATGTACGTTTAACTTGACTAGACACGGAGAACCTGCAGCGAGCCTCCGGCTTGTGGACACTTGTCAACAACCAGTTACTTTCTGACAAATTGTGGCGAGTGCTGATAGGGATGTGGTTCGATTCACACCGCTACAAAAGCAGAACAAATACAAGGAACAGCTCAGGATTTTGCACGAGTTAAATCTAGCACTAGTACCACTGACTCGACTCCCTCACTTTTTCCACAGTGGAGAAACCAAACCCCCGAAAAGGTCTTGCAGGTTATCCACGTTTCCTGGGTAGGCTCCAAAGTGCGACACTGAGTTCCACACTTTCTCTTCTTCAATCTAAGTCGCCACTTCCTGAGTCTGCAGAAACACACTGCCAGCAAAAGTCAAAGTTCAGTGATGGTTGTTCCAGTAGAGCAACTTAATGAAGAGGTCCGTAGCTGTAGTTGGTCTCGACAATGTGCATAACATATCCATCTAGATATCTGTGTATATAAAGATGGATATAAGCTATATATATATACATTTCCTGATTTGAC